AAAAAGACACTCATACTTTGAGAGGTAAAGCTTTCAGTGTAACTGATTACAATTTGTCTACCCGTACCCGTTGTCTCTTGGGACGAGACCCTGTCGAAGAAGAGCTTTGTCCAGGGATTATATCTTGATTTTATGAGCGCTAAAACAAGAAAAGAGATCGTTTTAAGAGCTACTGTAAGACACAGTAGAAAAAACTGGTTGCGCTCCAGTTTACACGCAAACTCTTCCTCTTTTACTTTACTACACTCCTTTCTCCTCTTTCTGTGAAGTACGGGTTCTCCTGTATGGATGTCAAATAAAGAACTTCAGCTAATGAGATAACGGTAATGACAAAGGAGGTTGAGACAGTAAGTTTTCGACTTCAAAACAACTCACTGAATGAGACCCGGCGGCCGATCCTGTAGCGCCGTCACCAAAGTGCAGATCGGCAAGTCCAGAAGATGCAGACGGAAAGTAGGATAGATTAGGTACAATAGATGAGAACAATTTCAGACACTCTAGAAAAACGTTCAAACAACTTTTGAATCGTTCTTTATGGTACCACTCAGGAAGAAGAGCCTAGAGTTCGGTCTACCAATCTCTTGAGCGTTTTGGTTGGAGAAGTGATAGCGCTTACGAGGGCTCTTATGGCACCATTTATGGATAGTAGTTCCTAGTCACATGTCGCCCCCTTAGGGGCCGTTTTCAAGGCACAAACTGAAGTTGCATGCTTAGCTCTGATGAAGATGACAAGACCAAAACTCTTCCCGAAAAAAAAATTCACAACACATTGCAAAGCTTCCACAAAACCCCTATAACATCGAAATGTTATGCAAAATTCACTGAGGGCTGAACATGGCCCATTCTGTTGACATCTCTGAAACGGGGATCAATCTAGCGACTATTTATTTATTTATTTACTATGCGCCCGAGGACGCGCTACAGTCCGGCAATACAAGAACTAACTAGACTAGAACAGACTAGAGCTTTGGAACATTCTGAAGCAATCGCACGTCTTCTCTGATTCATCAGATGTAAGGAAATGGAATGAAATCCTTGACAGGTCGATCCGATTGAAGATTCCAACATACACTACATCAGTAAAAGACCTCGATGACACCTGAATGAAACTGAAGAGGCTGAAATGAACATTCCTCCAAAGAACGACTTGCACTGGCGTAAAACTGATATTTTAACAACTCCGTCTCAGTTCTTATCCTAATAATCCGAATCTAAAAGGATTGCTGGCCTTCCAAGCTTCGATGATGACGTGGTGACCGAAGATTCCTTAAACCATTTTTTGTCAAGAGAGGCTCGAAGCTGAGTTGCTATCGAGGTAAGACCCTTGTTTTGCTTCAGCGAGCCGAGTATAACATTATAATTCTTTCGAAAAAGGTATTTTAAAATCGGAAAATCCGTTGGAATTCTCATTCATCTTCACCAATCACTGGGAAAGGTTTCTTTCGAAGATATTAGGTATTTGAGAAGGTTTTCCAATGATGCTAGCGAACAGAGCCTAAGCAAAAGTAGATAATTTACGTAGCTCAAGATTCCTAATGGATGAAGCTACTATTCAAAAGTTCGATCTCCTCAAAAAAGGCTTGTCATAGTAGATCCGCTGCAATCGGCCAGTGTTTCGACTAAATCATCGTCGTTACTGACCTGTAAGTACCACAAGTTTGACGAGCTATGGACAAAACGTCAATACCTGAAAGTAGCACGATGTTCATCGTCTTTGGTTTACTCGGTTGAATACACAAAATTACTAGGCAGGTTGTGTCATCGTCCATGAACTCGGATGCAGAAAATCCTATCAAAATGATTAATTACTTTTGCCGATTCACCGCCGCCGTTGACATACCACTCGAATAAGTGGAAACAAGTAACGAATGAAACCATACTGGTGGTCGTAAGATAACGATCCCAAGCACCACAAACAGGAATGAACCGCAGGAATTGGCCTGTAACATCCTTGCACTCATTTAGGCTGTTCAGAGAGGGTACATCTCACGAATTCCACTTACTTACTGAGGCATTTCCCATGTTTCCCAGGACCAGGACCAAGATCTTCGAACTGCCTTCAGGTCCTGGGCGATAGAATGATTGGTTGACACGTCGACTGAGTGAAGCGGTTTCACTATAACAGACCTGTTTGTCTAAACAGTAAACGACGTTAGCCTATCCATTATAGTAGAAGCTAGGCTATAAAAGCCGTTGCGAAGATCAGAGAGATTATAACACCTTCATCGGTGCCTTTGACTACTGCTGGTGTTTTGGTTCAAATGATCGATCAGCTGCTCACTACTTTTCCTTCATTGACTTTTCAAAAACACCATGATTTCTTTTTCAGAATGATGAAATATCTTGCCCTTCTATTGGTTATTTTTGTATCAGAATGTCTGGTCGATGGCTGTCCATTACCGATGTCTGAGGAGAAATGCTGTTGCTGGTAAATCACTTTATTTAGGAATAACAGTTTTTTTTTGAAAGTTCATTTTCATTCATGCAATTTAATGAACCAATCGTTTTCAGCCAACCTCAGTGTCCATGCCCACGTCCATGTCCACCTCCATGCCCACCTCCATGTCCACCTCCATGTCCATGTCAATGCCCATGCCCATGTGCACCACCATGTCCGCAACCATGCCCGCCTCCGTGCCCACCTCCGTGCCCACCTCCGTGCCCATGTTGCTGTCCATGCTGTCCATGTGGCTCAGGATAAGTTCACGCTAGTACAAGCTTTAGAATTGACAAATATGAAGCATTGTTTGTATAGGAACGTTTCGTTCAGGAATAAATATTTGTCTTCTATTTGTCTGCACAAATACCTTAGGAGCTACTCGTGGTCGCTGTGTTTCGATTAAATGCTATCAAACAATATTATTGATAGACAGTAGTCCTCGAAGTGAAAATGGCCTTTCGAACTAAGCTGAACTGTTCTATATGTGCTCACCACTCACGTGAAGCTTATGAATTCAGTAGAAGCGTGTTTGGAAAAGAGTCCGAACCTCAAATGCAGTTTTGAAACAAAATTTATTAAACTTCCTCATATCAGGTACCAGATGAACATTGGTGGTCTACACTTAAAAGTAAACCGCAAGACAACCATCTTATGAGTATTTTGCAGAGCATTGTGGAGCTCAGCTTTTACCTTCTACAGAAGAGTGAATTGAGATTGGTCATGTCTCTCCTCAAACTTTGATTTTGAAGGTACCCTGTTTTCAGATTGGACTTTCTCTATCAAACCATTCCGGTAGCTCCTGAATGACAGAAATATATGGAAATCAAATTTAAAAAAAAAATGTGCATGATGATTATTGTGAGAGTGTATGGGTCCCCGGTGTACAAGCTCCCTGAAGTCAGCTACGACATAGTACATACGTACATAAGAAGTTCTGACAGTGGGATCGAGGTGTTGATCTGTTGTCTGTCTTTGCACGAAGTAATGAAGATGAAAAGGTGAACTCATTAACTGGACTCAAACCCGCTTCTGTATACGCCCTGCTTTCGATTTCCATTCAGAAACACAGTGACATTTGGGGGTAGTGCTATACACAATGAATTGCAGTGGCCAGCGATGAACAAGTCAGTGCTTAATAATCCCAGACAGGTCTGGCACCCAATAAATCGACCTGGGAAAGATTGAAAGTTTGCTTGACCTGAGTAAATATCGATTTGAGGATCAATATCGACCATGTGCGTGGGATGGTGAGCCAATAGGCACTACACCACCTTCAGCATGCTCGAAGTAATATCTCCAGATAACATGGTTCACTGGTAACACTGTGTCTGCCTTACAACAGGGATGCTTCCCTGAAGAAGCAGATAATCTAAAAACACTCCCGTGGCACGGATTTAGTCGTGCACTGAAAAAGCTTATCTGTACCTTGCACTCTTAAACAGGGAATTCTGTTGATAACACCTCTATTCACACTTTCCAGTGGAAACTGGCTATACTGCCTCGAAGCAACTGAAGACTGTTTTGGAGTCTCGAGTGACTGAAGTCTCGTCCCGAAACCAGAGGCTCGACTCCAGGTCCGCTGCGACAACGCCAAGAGTGGTCCGTCTTTAAAGCTCAGCCCAGTCATCGAAGAGAGTGAACTAGACAGCGGCAATGTTCTGCTTCGAGACACTCTTTTCTACTAGAAAATTATGAAAATAAAGGCGTAGAATTACTGCTTTTTTGGCCTAATTTGACTTTCAATATGACGACTTTGCAACTTTTCAACATTGGCAACGGCAACGCTTCATATTGAAATCACCATATCCCAATTAAGAGTTTCTAAGGCATGGAATAGTAGCGGTGACCCGGTAGAAAATCTCAAAGCGGGATGCAAGATTGATCTCTCTGAGGACCTGGTCCTCGTTCTATCTAATTGTAAATGTGTCAAATGAACTTTTTCCCCCTTATATGAAAAGAAAAAGTGGACATTAATCTCGAGGATCTCTTGTTGAAGTTCTCATTCAGCTTACCTCTTTCGCTGAGGAGATTTTTGTAGCTGATGTTTGGTGTTTAGTCTGCATCCGTATGATGTTTGAGCTCTCTGATAAAAGCCAGAATAAGAGGAGAAATTTGACGAGATGTGGACTTCCAGTCCACTTAGCGAAAAACGGACAAATTAGACTAACACATAGCCCCGGATACCTGATATAAACTGGGCTTTTCATTATGTGCAAAGCTATAAAAGTCGTAGAGGAACTCAGAGAAAACATCACATCTCACGGTTCTCAAAACTGCTCCAAGACTTCTTAGTCAGTGCCTTTGGGATCTGTTGTTTTCGAATACTGCAACTGTTTTGCTTCGAACGCTTGATAAGCGGCTTACTGTAGCTGTTGTTCCATCAGAAGCTTTAAGAAGAATTCTTCGATGTTTTCAGAATGTTCAAATATCTGTTTCTTCTCCTCGTCATCTTCGCATTGGCTTCTGAAGTCAACGGATGCGGATTCCTTTTCGGAGGTGGCGGTAGCAGCTGCTGGTAAATGACTTACTTTAAAAAGAATAATTTTTCTTGAAACTCACTCTCTTACCTATGTAGACCTATTGTACAAAAGTTTCAGTCCTCCTCCTGCTGCTCCTGCATGTCCACCTGCTCCATGTGCTTCTTCTGGGTGCGGATAAAGCTGTGCTAGCTGAAGCTGAGAAATTGGAAAACCCCGACTTTCGCGTAACTGTGTCTTCTAGAATTTCTTTATTTAAAAATAAATATTGATCAACCGACCTGGTAACAGGCAAACAATAAAAAGCGAGCTATCTTCTGAGGAAAGAAGGACGAAAGTTCCTATACGAGTTAGACTGATGGAGCAGCTTGAAGCCAGATATTGATGTGATGCTTTTCAGACTGAGGTGAAATGCTGGGTATTCTGTACTTTTCGTTGGAAACTCGATAAATAAACTGTCCCTTCCGTTAATTTTCCTTTGGAAAAACAATTGACTGAATCCTCCAAAAGTTGAACAAAAAAGGTAAGTGCAATCAAGGTCATCAAATAAATAGCCAACTTTTGTTTATGTTTCACAAGGATGGGAAGTTATGAACCAAAACCAGGGCTCTGACGGAAAGTGCTTTCCTTCTCAATATTCTTTGAGCCCTAGCTTGCCTTGACCTTGCAAAGCTGGTCTTCTTAATGGCATTTCAGCAACAGCTTCCCGATACAGTACCGACATTGGCTATGAATGCTGATAACCTATACCTTCACGCTACAGTCGAAGAAGGGGACAAAGAGCACGGGGCTAGGTAAGCCAACGTATGGCTTCGAACCATCCCTCCGATTAGATGTTTCACCAAAAACTGGCCAACACTGGAAGATTTTCGCATCACGCACCGAACAATCAATCAGGACAACAACTACAGAGGGTCAGAATTTCGCAAGAATGATTTGGAGGCTATTCTGAAAAGAACGATCTGGCCTCTTTCTGCTCCTTCTGAAGCAGGATTACGGATGTTTTTTCGGCGTCAGGGTTGAGGCATACCACGTTGACGTTTTCCGTAAGGCTCCCTATCGAGAATCCACAAATATGGGTTTTTTTTCAAGAGGAAAAAGTACTCCCTAAAAGTTTTCTGGTTATGCGATAAAAGGTCCTCAGCTTGCAAGCTCGCCAAGTTGGCCATGATGTAGTTAAATGGTAAGTAGTTGTTGACCGAATGCCTGTTTTTACATTGAATAATGCTCCTTAATAACGCTGCCTATTGGCAATGCTGTAGAAATTTCACTGACAAACGATCGCTTTGATTGGGTGTACTTCCTCAATTTGTACACGCACATTAAAAGTGCTCAGAATCAGATTTTTTTCGTCCTAAAAAGGCCAGACTGAAATGAGCAAATCAGTTGATCATTTTTAAAGAGATGGCTACTGTTTTTGATTGTTTTCCTATGTGTATCGTGTTTTTCCATCAGAACACTTGGTTGTTTTTATCATTTGTTCTCCCTATGTGAAAACGAATAAGTAGATGAATATTTATTCCTAAGTTAAGAAGACTGTAGGTACAAATACGTGGGTGTTTGATGTCCAGAGTTCTTCTAGCTCCCTCTAGCACAGCTTTATCCGCATGCTGATGGGCATGGTGGAGGGCATGGAGGTGGGCATGGTGGTGGGCATGGTGGTGGGCATGGAGGTGGGCATGGTGGCGGGCATGCAGGTGCTGCAGGAGCGGGACTGAAAAGTTCCNAAAAAAAAGCAAAAGGGAAACAAAAAGACGAATTGGTTTTCAGAAAATAAATCGTCTCAAGCACATCTACTTATTAATTGTATTAAAGTTATGCACTCACCAGCAGCTACTTCCACCACCTCCAAGCATACCGAAGCCAAAGGCGTTGACCTGAGACATTGATGCGAGGATGGCGAAAAGAAGGAACAGATACTTGAACATTCTGAAACAAAAGCTTTTTTCATTCCTGGAAATTTGTGTAGCAGTCAGCAACAAGCAAAGTCGAAGGTGTGAAGTGATCGGTGTGGGAACCAATCCACTGTATAAATACTGAAGGTGGAAAATATTAAATGCTCTATGGCTTCTTGGAATAGAACCCAGGATGTGATATTCTCCTTGAGGTTCTCTTCACCTTTATAGTGCCTTACGCACGGTGCATAAACCCGTTTTCATTATCCAGTATCGTATATGCTATGTGCTGGACTGTTTTACGTCGTATTTCTGCGACTACACTTGAACTCGATCCCTACGACCAAATAATCCCCTAGCGTTGGCTTCAGTTATGGCCTCGAATTCCGTATTCATAGGAAAACTTGCCAGTTGCCTATTACCGATCATCATAATTAGGCGCTAAATGAAAGTCTGGGTACAGATTTTTTTGGCATCAAGCAAGTGATATGTATTTGCCTTCAAAACATTTCAACAAATTCAGNGCTCTAAAGCTTCTTGGGATAGAACCCAGGATGTGATATTCTCCCTGAGCTTCTCTTCACCTTTATAGTGCCTTACGCACGGTGCATAAACCCGTTTTCATTATCCAGTATCGTATATGCTATGTGCTGGACTGTTTTACGTCGTATTTCTGCG